TCTTCGAGCTAGAACCAATCATATACTTCCACGTGTAATCTCAGCTGACGCGGACTCTTTGCCTTATCAACCATACCAAACCTTTTCCTTGGGGCTTGAGGGTTTGTGATTTTTCGATATAGAGTATCCGTTCCTTCCAAAAGATAAAAAGTAAATAATAATGGTAAAACTTTGAGAAATTGGAATTAAGGTAGAAACAAAAGAGAACAAATTAAGGGTCATTGGTGACTCAGTGATTGAGAAATGACAAAGTTATCCTCAAAATTCTGTGTTCGATTCTACTGGTAGAAAGAGATGTAATTTTTAGACCAAAATAGATCATACACAAAGAGTGATCCCGGATCTAGGTTCGGACAAACTAAGGGTCAAAGTTAAAAAAAAGTAAGATAGGGAGACATTCCCTGACAATATGATTGAATGGGTCGCAGTGGGCCCATCTGCTGTCTGGGCCTAGGAGTTTGGGTGTTGCCTAAATAAATGAATTCCAATGCTCTCTCTCTCTCTCTATTAAGTATTAACCATTGCCTCTTGTATTGTTCAATCCGTAGAGGTCCGATCATATTTAAACAAATGTAATTTTTTAAAAATATTTATCATGTCAAACTCCACATATTTTCGCAATGTTTTTCGGCTATAAAATAATATGTGCTTTACTCACATAAATAAATAAATAAATAAAAATAGCAACACATAGAGAGAGAGAAATATGCGTATATGCATTGACGCTAAACAAATAATATTTGCCATATGAACAAATCGGTAATGATTCCCCAAATCAAATTTCATTACTGGACTTCAATAGTACATTTAATGCGATATCGCCATAAGAAAATTAATCTTTATAAAAAAAAACGAGAAATACACATAGCTTTGCATGTAATTTATCATTGAACACTTTCGGTGTAAGATAGGATAAAGTGATTCAATGGTATAGCTAAAAGAAGAGAGAAAGCCAATAAGTAGGCGACCAATTGTGAGATCATTTGACTTTATTGGTGCGTCAAACCATTACGAGACATTATTACGTGGCATTAATTGGTTATTAGGTAAAAGGTGATTGAATAAATTATACGTCTTTATGAGAATCCCATGCATGCAAAGCGTAAATTATACCATTAATAACGATTATATGTACACATAATCAACTTCATAAGTATAATAAGATTAGATATTGTTGATGGCTTACACACACGTACAAAAAAAAACAAGCACTTGTATTCACATATTGAAATGTATCAGCAGGTTACAATTTTGATAAATTAAGATTAACCGCATTTTCTATCGTAATTAGAATATTATATGTCGAGTGTGTCGACCATCATTAATTGATCTAAAAATCATACGTTTTATAGTTATGTTCCAACCATTCACATCCATATATATATATATATATATATGAACAGAGAAAGGGGATTATATATATATATGTATATACGCACACGAATATATTTGTCAAATTCTTGAAGGAAATGAGATGACATGTCATGGTAGTGGAAAGTGGGAAATAACAAATAACATCATAACATGACCATAATAGTTTCTCCTCCATGCCTTTTCCACCTGTCTGGACAAAGCGTGACTTCCATCTCCTTTTCAGTTTTATTGCATCGCATCATATATATATATATATATATATATATATATATAGTGCATTTGGATTGTGTAAACTACGTTTAATAAATACTTAATTAGACCTTGAATGGTTGGAGTTTTTAGAGTTTTTAGAATAAAAAAACCAAAAAAATTATCATTCAAGTTTTCACAAAATTACTTTTTCATTTCCCGTCTCATGGAAAACCCTTTTGAGGAGAAGATAGATGGGGCGATTCAGGTGAGATCCAATGTAGATCCAACTTTCTATTCACTCGTGGGATCCGGGCGGTCCGGAGGGGACCACCACGGCTCCTCTCTTCTCGAGAATCCATACATCCCTTATCAGTGTATGGACAGCTATCTCTCGAGCGCAGGTTTAGGTTCGGCCTCAATGGGAAAATCAAATGGAGCACCTAACAACGTATCTTCACAGACCAAGAACTACGAGATCACCCCTTTCATTCTGGAGTGACGGAGGGATCGTACCGTTCGAGCCTTTTTTTTTCATGCTTTTCCCGGGGGTCTGGAGAAAGCTGCAAAGATTTTTCCGCTTTGAAACTCTTATTTTGGGATGACGTCAAGTCATCATGCCCCTTATGCCTTGGGCGACACACGTGCTACAATGGCCGGGACAAAGGGTCGCGATCCCGCGAGGGTGAGCTAACTCCAAAAACCCGTCCTCAGTTCGGATTGCAGGCTGCAACTCGCCTGCATGAAGCCGGAATCGCTAGT